CAGACCTCGCGGCTCACTGGGGACTGCCAATTGCGCAACTATCGCCACTTCCGTGGGCTCCTAAGACGTCAAGCGGAGCCGAGGACCACGTACATCCAGTCGGGACCTCGCGGCGCCCTTTGGCGGCTAATTGCGTAAGAACGTTGTTTCAGCCAATAGCACGTGAGCGCTCTATTAGACATTTCGAGGAAGAGGAGGTGGACGACGACGACGACGGGTAAAATTTGGCGATCCTTTCATTGTGTTCCGCCTCTGGAGGCCTTTTTCTGGCCCTCTGGCTGTCAACATCGATCCAGGGCGAAACATTTGCCATGTCGGACCCCAGGAGGGGTCGGGGGGTTGGTTTTGACAGGACCTCTCGGGGCGCACGCAAGGGGGGGGGGCAGCGCTGACGGGGGCCAGCCAGTCCCCGCTGATCCTTCCTGGCGAACCTGGGTTTGGGAGCCATTTCGCGGCCAGCCAGGCCTCAGGACATGACCCTGGCTGATCCATGTGCTGAAATCAGGAGGGGGAGGAAGAGGAGGAGGAGGAGGAGGAGGAGGAGGAGGAGGGAACGTTTTTTTGGGATCAGGGCCGGACGACGACTGCAACCACGGCGGCGGCGACGATGGCCGTGGGCGGCGGCGGCGACGCTGACGGTCAGGACGGACGGGTGCAGCACAGACGGTCAGGACGTTGAAATCAGGAACAGCTCGGGTTCGGAAGGGGCTCGATGTTCCTTAGTTCCCCCCATGGCTGTGCCTCCAGATCTCCTCGTACACGCAGGCAGTGCTGGGGCTAAACATGTCTTCGTGCCTTATTTGTCGTTCCTCATGTCAGCAGTCCAACTGTAAGAAATCAGCCTGTCAGCAGGTGCGCTGCCCAAGTTTCTCATCTCCCGATGGCCCCAGAGACCCACAGAAGCCTTGGGACACCTCAGTGAAACTCAGGATGGCTGACGAAGGGCGCACTTTTCGCATGTACTCGCTGTAGCGCTGACCCAGGGGGAGCGGGCCCCCGGGGCTGGTAGAGGCTCGGACGGCGGGAGGGGAAGTTTTGGGGCGTACAAGTGGTGGGATGTGAGCCTCAGAGATGTGACGGTTTGTTGGGCAGTGCTTGCGGTATGCGATGTCGTTCCGTCGGCTTTTGATTAGAGACAGGGGAAGAGAAGGAGAGAAAAGAGAGAGAAGGAGAGAGGCAGAAAGAGAGAGAGAGAGAGAGAGGGAGAGAGAGAGAGAGAAGGGAAGAGAGGGGGAAAGGGAGAGGAGGATATGGAGAGAGGAGGAGGGGGAGAGCGAGAAAGAGAGAGAGAGAGAGAAATAGAGAGAGAGAGAGAGATCGCAAGACTTCGGCTGAGGGTTCGTCCAGGCTCCTAGGCTACAATCGCCCAGCAGACCTGCCTGGGAGGCGCCGCGTACGACGCAGGGGTGGCGGAGTGACCTTCCTTTTTGCGCGGTCCGTTTGGGCCCCGTTTGGAAAAAGAAGGCAGTCTGCGGTGATCGGGAAGCTGAAGGCCCCGTCTGCGCACCCGTGGTTGAAAGAGACACCGGCTTCAATCACTCTTTGGCATGCGCGCCTCGGTGTCCAGAGAAAAAATGGACACCGCCTTGGGGCATCCCCCGCGGCGGCCCGAGAGCAATGGCCGTGAAATGCTTGCCAGTTGTTAGCACAGCGCATGCAAGGAGAGCCAGACGGCACCACGTGGGAAGGGCGACAGGGCCCAAACACCAGCGCCCGTGCAAACACCGACGCCCCGGGCCCCGCCCGAACACCCGCCGCTGGCGCCCAGAAGCCCCGCCAGCGAAGGGACCAGGCAGGAGCACGGGAAGTGTCGGGGCCCTGCCACCCCGCGGCGCAGGACAGGGTTCACACACTGTGGGGGACGCGTAGGAAAAGGCGCAGAGGATTCTCAGCAAAGGAAGCCCGGCCTCTTTTTGTAGTTGCTTGCAGGGTCTTCCCCCCGAGTTCGACACGGCGGGGGGGGAGGGCCTCCATAAAATGGCTCCAGGTTCCCAACCCCGGGGGTGGGGCCGCCAAGAGCCAAGGGGTACCCGCCCCCGCCTCACACACTGAAGGTTGCATTTAGTGTTCGCCCGCCCGTCCTGCATTTTTAGTGATAGATTGCCCCTTGATTCTCCGAAGTCGGAGCGAAGGTTGCATTTGATGGCACGCCCGCCTGATATGGACGCCCCATCACTGAGTGAATGGTTGTTTTCGTGCCCGGCCTGCCCGAACGGCGTTGTCGGCGTTTGTGATCAATGTTCCTGGACCTTTCAATTTTCGCACAGCCGTAATAGTCGCCAAACAGTTCCCCGTAGCCTTTTCCCGAACACGAAGTGGAGGTTGCATTTCATGTCCCGGCTTTCGATATGGATGCCCCATCACTGAATGAATGGTTCCTTGAGTACCCCGTCCGCCCGTGAGGCGTTTTCGGCGGTTGCGGTTGAGATTATTTGTTTTGACGTTCTCGTTCCACACAATGAAGGTTGCATTGATTGTCCCGCCCGCCCAATATGACGCCCCATCATTGACTGCCCGCTTCGTCCAAGATCCCGCCAGGCCGTTTTTCGTCGCCTGGCGGTCGCGACGCATTCCCCCATGACTTTTCGTCTGCACCGGGGGCAGATTGGATGTGATGTTCCGCCCGCAGGATCTGGATGGCTTCGCCTTGGCACGACGTCTTCGGCGGTTGTAATCGACCCCCAGAAACATTCGCACGCCACACAGTGAAGGTGACATAAAATGACCCGCCTGCCCACTTTGAACGCCCCATCAACCGCCTGCCCGCCCGTCCTGCGTTCTTCGCGGTCGCGATGCGCGTCCCTGACGGATTAGATATGAAAGCGGCATTCAATTCCCCGCCCGCCCGCCCTGCTATTTTGGCGGTTGCAAAAGATGTCTTTGCCCGCGGTTTCACTGCGCAGTAGAAGGGGTGCACGCGATGCTCCGCCCGCCCGAATGGGCGCCCCATCACTGACGAGATGTTTTATTTAATGTTCGGATCGCCCGATCGGCATTTCTGGCGGTTGCGATAGATTGCCCCGCATCTCCCCCGGCGCTTTTCGGTCGGCGGCGAGGCGGCGCACTCTGCTCCAGCGAGAAGGTGGAAAGGGGCATTGGCCAGCGAATTGGCCAGCGGGCAAAGAGAGAGGGGGGGGGGCAGCCGAGCTTCGAAAGAAGGGGCGCTCAGACGCCGAAGCGTCCGACGATGAGCGGCCGGGGGGGCGCAGCAGCAGCCGGGCGCGCGGGGCCAGAGCGCGGCGGGCGGCCGCGGCGAACCGCAGCGGCAGGGGCAGCGGGAGGGCGCCTGGAGCTGGCGGGCGGGCGCAGCGGGACACCGCGAACGAACGACGGTGGCACCGCGGCGCGCCGAGGGGCAGGCGCTGCAGCGAGTCGGTCGGAAGCGGGAACGGCGGCAGAGGCAGCGACAGGAGTACGGCGGCGGCCCGGGGCGCGCCAGATGGCCGGGGGGCCGGGGGGGGGCGGGGCAGGGAGCGGCGGGCGAAGCGCCCCGGGCGACCGCGGGCGGCGGGGCGGAACGGCGACGGGAGGAGGAAGCGCGGGCTGCCGGAAGGAGGTGGCGACGCCGCCACAAGGCTGGCAGCGGCGGGCATTGCGGAACGACCGCCCGGGGCGCGACGGGTAACCGGGAGGCTGGAGGCGAGGCAGAAGGCGGCGGGCGAAGCGCCCTGGGCGCCCGCAGGGCGGCGCGGAATAGCATCGCAACGGGGGGGGGGCGGCGCGGGGCCGCCGCGCAGAGGCCGGGTAGCAACGCAGGGCGGCCCAGTGGGCGGCCCGGCGCGGCGCAGCAGGGGGGCGCCGAAATGGCGCGGATGACAGCGAGCGAGCGACGCGCGCCCCAAACGGGAGGCGCGTCGCGAGGGGGCGGCGGCGCCGAAAGGTGCAGAAGCCGGGCGAGCAGAGAAGCGCCGAGGTGGCGCAGGGGGCAGCGAGTGAGCGACGCGCGCCCCACGCGAGAGGCACGTCGCAAGGTGGAGAGGCGAGGGGGGGCGCCGAGGGGGCGCCGAGCCGGGCGCGGAGTGGCGCCCTGCCCAGAGGGCAACGCGCCTCATGGAGAGCGGACAGGGGGGGGGGGACCGGAAACAGGGAGGCGAGGAGGCCGCCAGTTGGGCGGGCGGGCGCGTCGGCGAGCAAGGCGGGCAGCGACGGGCAGGGAACTGCCAGCTGGGTGGGGGGGGCAGCGACCGCGACGAGCGCGGGGGGGCAGCGAGGCACCTGGGCGGCGGGTCAGCAGGGCAGGGCGCCGCGGGCGGGGGGCTCGCCGCGCCCGGGCGCGGGCGCGTGGGAGGGGCGGCGGAGGCCCGCTGGCGGGGCGGCGGGGCGGCAGCGCTGTCCGCTGACCCGCGCGGGCGGGCCCCGCCGGGGCGGCGGCGCGCGGGCGGCTCACGCTGGCTCACGCTGGCGAAGGGAGCGGCGGAGGAAGGTGGCATCGCGCCGGCTGGGGTCACGGGCGCCGCCGCCACGCCGAACGCAAAACGCCTGCCGGGCCGCCCCAGCTCCACCGCCAGCCTGCAGCGCCCTCCTGGCCCGCCTGGGCCACGAGGGCCCCTTCGAGCCGGGAGCCGAGCAGGGCGGGGCTCGGGGCGCCCTCGGGGCGCGCCCGCCCCTTGCCTTTGTCTTATAGTCCGAAGTGAACGAGTCCCACTGGCCACGGGCGTTCTGGCGCCGCGGCCCAGATGTGCTTGGCGAGCAGCAGGGGGGTGCGCCGTGCAGGCCGACGCGTTCCCCCCTGCGGGCTGGCGCTGAAGCTGCCCGCGGCGCTGGCGCCGCCCGCGGCCGTCGTCGCGGGGGGGGCGGCGGGGGGCGCCGGGGGCCCGCGTGGGGTCGACGCGCGGCGGGCCCGCGTTGACCCGGGCGTCGGCGCGAGCAGCTGCCGCGGCGGGCCGCGCGGAGACCACGCAAAGCGCCGGCTGGCGGGCAGGGGACGGGCAGGGGCGTCGGAAGGGGCAGCGGACTGGGCGGGGCGCCGGCAGCAGTGTCGAGCGGAGCGCGTGGCCCAGGCGCGCCGGGCTCGGCGTCGCCGTCGCCAGCTCGGCTTGCCCAGCGGCGTCCGTCTGGCCGCCCGAGGTCGCGATGCTGGAGCTCGTCTGGCTGCTCGCGGTCGCGGTGCTGGAGCCCGTCGCATTGCGCGCTCAAGCTGCTGGGGCCCGGTTTGCTGCATGCGATTTTGCTGCTGGGGAATCCTGTTGCTCGCGGTCACGCTGCGGTGGTCCGTCGCCCTGTTCCCGATGGCGCTGCTGGCGCCCGCCTTGCCGCTCAGGGCCGCGCCGCTGGGTTCCGCCACCCAGCCGCGGCGACGAGGGTTCTGCAGGGCGAGCAGCGGCGCGCCGTGACATCGGGTGGGAAAGGACCCCCTGGCTTCCAGGGCGGACTTGGGGGGCCACCTCGAGACGGGGGGGCTGTCCAGGCACGGCGTCGCCTTGAGCGCCTTGGTTTCCGTCGACCTGGCCGCCCGCGGTCCGCGCTCGATCCCAGGGACCTGGGGGCCCACTACTGGGGGCGCAAGACGGCGGCGAAGGTTTCCCGGCCCTTTCTGGCGCCAGAGTGTCATCGCGGCCTTGGACCGGTGGTTCTGGCTTGCCAGACAGATCACCTCTTCGCGGTCCAGGGGTGCCACTGCCAAACGCGTTGGCCCGCGCGCCTCTGGGCGGCGGCCTTCCGCGGCGGGCCCTCATCGTGGCGACGAGGCTCTGCGCCCCGAGCAGCGGCGGCATCGCCCGCGGCGGGCGCGGCTCGGGGGCCCGCGAGGGGCCAGGAGGGGCTGTCTGGTTTCTGACACCGCCGTCGTTGCTCCGCCCAGGGGCGCCGCTGAAAGCTGCGAGCACGGGGGAGACGGGGTTTCCCCCAGAGCCCTGGTGAGGCTCAGGGGGGGGCCGCCGGCTTTTGATTCCGCCACCGCCATCTCTACCAGGTTCGAAGTTCGGCCCGCTGGTCTCTGGCGCTGCCAGGGCCCCCCGCGCCGCTGAGGACGCAACCAGGTGAACAGACGCTATGGCCTCCGACACGCCGCAACTGAGAGCACAGGGAAATGCCGCGATAACGGGCGCGAAGCTACAAGGTTCGGCCCACTGGTCCCTGACGCCGCCGTCGCCGCCAGGTTCTGCAGGGGCGCCGCGGAGCGCGGCGAGAACGGGGGAAAGGAATGTCCCCTCTGAGCCCTGGTGAGGAGCAGAGGCCCGCCGGTTACTGACTCCGCCATCGCTGCCAGCTTCGTCTCGCTGGTCTCTAGCGCCGCCATTGCTGCCGGGCCCAGGGGGCGCGGGGGTTCCACCGGGGCCCTGGCGAGATTCAGGGGAGGCCCGCTGCCGCAGTCCGGGCCCCCATTCTCCCGCCCGCGGGGGCGCGCGGGGGGCGCCGCGAAATGCGGCAGCAGTAGTGGGGCGCCCCGACCTCGGCCGGGCCCGCGCGGGCGCGACGTTGGCGAGGGGGGGGCGCGAGGAACGGCGCCCCTCGAGCCCTTCCCTCGTCTCCCGCTTGTCCCGCCGCAGCGGCGCGACGCGCGGCAGTGGGCGAGGAAACTGAGCGACCCCGCGCGCCGGGCCCGCGCGGGCGCGACGCGGGGGGGTCGCTGGCGAGAGGAGGGCCGCGTGGAGGTCTTGGAGAACCGGCGGTCGATACTCCTGGAGCCGCGGTTCCGCGGGCCCCCCCTTGCCCCCCGACCTCCTCCGCGTCGTCCGCGCCCGTGGCGAAGATTTGGGCGCTGCCCCCCTTCGCCTCCACTTCCGCCACTTCAGTTTCCGCGTCTTCGAACTGCCTCTCCTCGTCCACTACCCCCCGCGCCTCCTTCGCCTCCTCGATGCCCTCCTCGACGCCTTCTTCCGTCGAATCCGCCGGGTGCCCGGCTGGTCGCGATTCGAGAAAGCTCCGCGGGGGACTCGATCAGGGGGGTTTAGATCAGTAACCTTCGGGGGCGAGCGCGCGTTCATATTTTGATGGTTTTGATGGATAGCATTAGGATTTTGATCGATACCACTTGGGTCATGATGGTGATGATGATGGCGGTGGCACCGATGGAGGATGACGATGATGACGGTGAGAATGAGGATGTGAGCTGGTGAAGTTGATGATGCTTATAATGGGAGGTGACCATGGCGACGACGACGGCGATGATTTCGATGATGGTGATAATGGTTCCGAGAATGATGATGACGGCGGTGCCGATGGTGATGGCGACGACGACGAGGATGATGTTGACGCGTTCTTGTGTCCCAGGCGCGCGCCGAGCCAGCGCGGCAGCAGCAGGGGGCCCATGCGCCACTCTACCACACCCAATGCCCACAACTTCTAGCAGGAGGCCAACGCCACTCTTCCACACCCGATGTATGTTCACAGCAACTTAGTAGATCAAGGATGGCAGGACGTTCTGTTCTCATTTAGCCACCTGCGTACGCACGCTTCGTTTCTTTCTGGCGTCTGCACGGGCACTCGAAACAGCGGCGACCGATTTGCCCACGCGTTTGAGGCGGTATCCCAGACGCGCATCTTCCAAGGCGGTGCGTCGCGTAAACCAGGGCTGCGGTGCAGCTGGAATTGGCCGTTCAATGGGCCACGACGCACGCGCCCAGCTGTAGCGCAAACCAGACCTGGAATAACAGGTGATCCATGAACATGCATTCCTCCTGGTGACGGGGGGGCTGCCGCTTGCGGTGGTGGCGGAGGCGCTGGCGCCGGTGCTGCCGCTGGCACTGGAGGCGCTGGCGCCGGTGCTGGCGGCGGCGGCGCTGGCGCCGGCGCAGGCACTGGACGCGCTGGTGGTGGAGGCGGCGGCGGTGGCGGCGGAGGGGGAGGCGGCGGCTCTCTGGAGGGTGGCCTGCCACGGGCTTCGGTTTAGCCCTTGCTTTGGCTCTTGTCGCCGCCTTCTTCTGCTTCGGGCCCGCGAGGTCCAGGCCAGCAAGTTCCCGTTGCTGGTGCAGTTTGTATTCGGCGCATCGGTACCTGACCTTTCTCTCTTTGATAGCCTTCCCGACCTCTGGGAATTCGTTTTCGTCTTCAGCGTCGAGGTCCTCGAAAGCTGCCTCGACCAGCGCGTCGTCAATCGCCGAGGTGCAGCGCGCGTCGGTCGTAAAGGATTAATATATCACATCGCCCGCAGCGCCAGCAGGGCGTCAACATCGCCGTTGAAGCGAGCGCGCTGCAAGAGGTCATTCAAGTTTAGCGTGTTAGCAGAAGTCGTCAGCGAGCGCTTCATGGACAAGCTGGTTCTGCGATCTGCCCAATGACAACTCCAGTGTCGGCCAGCGCCAAGGCCGCTGTAGGGGCGACCTCCCAGTCGGATGCGTCCGCGACGTTCACATGTTGCTGCAGTTGCACCGATTGCTGCGCCCTTCATCTCAAACGCATGGCCCGAACACCCTAGACCGCAGATGCTAACCGTTGAAAACCCAAACCCAGCCCTTTAAAACCTGAAGCAGCCGCAGCAGTCGATGAAGAAATGCCTCGCAACATACGTGCCGAACCCTGGTCCTTGGCAAGTGTGAAACACGTCGCGTCGTCAAAGACGCCCCGGCGCAGCTGCCACCCCGGGAAGGCCCGCGCGCGGTGGACAAGGGTCAACCAGAAACGACCTCCGCACTGGGCGACTTGCAGAGCTGGCACGAGCTGAATGAAACGGGCCGCGCCCGGGCTCGCAGGGTTCTCCGCGCGCCGACGCCGCAGATATTCGCCTTTGGTCGCCCGCTCCTCGTTCAAGGTGGGCCATGTTTTTCCTCGTAGAATTGTAGAGCAGCTCGTTGGTAACTTGTGCCTGCAGCTCCTGTGCTTAGATGCCATAGCTGTTTTCCAGTACCTTGAACTCGTCGGTGAAATATTGCTGGCCCACGCTCGGTTTGCGAGGCACCCCGCGCGCCTCGAAAATTCAGTTGCGTCGACTAGATGCCGAAGCCTGTCGCGCTGGATCCTTGTCCGAATTCGCCCGAGCATCCAGCCGCAGCGCGCCGCGGGTGTCTCCGCAATTTCTGTTGTCCGCCATGGCCCAAGGCATGCATTTCAGTAAATGCCACCTGGCGAATGACCTGCGACCATACTTGTCACGGCAAAAGAATTCAAACAACACCCTGATAGGCCCATTATTATCTTGCAGAGGGCGTCTAAAGCTCCGACCACTTCATGTCGGCACGGCGCCCCCTCCATCACCCACACATTCCGCCAGTCAGCGCGCCCCTCCGCCCCGACCCCTCTATTTCGGCGCGGCGCACCCCTCCGCCCCGACCTCTTTATTTCGGCGCGGCACGCCCCTCCCACGCCCCCTCCGCGCCCCCCCCCGCCCACCAGCCAGCGCGCGCCCCCGCCCCGACCCTTTCATTCGGGCGAGGCAAGCCCCTCCACCCCGACCGATTGCGAAGGCCTGACGGCCGGTGCCGCCGACCACGTTCGCAATGCGCAGCAAGAGGCACGGGCTGCGGGATGGTTTGAGGGAACGGGGAGAAGGACGAGAAGGTGGGGGAGGGAGGTGTCGCATCTGACCCGGGACTTCCCCGGGACTCCCCCGGGGCCCCCCCCGGGACCTCCTCTCCCCACCCCGTCGGGGAAGGGAAAGGGAAGGGGCTTCCCTTCGACTCAATGACGACGTTGCTCAAGGTCGGCACGGGGGGGGGGCGTCGTATCTGACTCGGGGGGGGGGGTCGCTACCCCCCCCGCTACCCCCCCCCCCCCCCTCCCGGCGGGGGAGGAATGAAAGGGAAGGGGCTTCCCTTCGACTCAATTACGAGGTTGCTCAAGGTCGGCTTGGCTGGAGCCCAGGGGAAGAGGAGTCCCAGGGGGGGGCGTCGTATCTGACCCGGGGGGGGGGGTCGCTACCCCCCCCCCCTCCCGGCGGGGGAGGGATCAAAGGGAAGGGGCTTCCCCTTCGACTCAATTACGAGGTTGCTCAAGGTCGGCTTGGCTGAAGCCCAGGGGAGAGGAGTCCCAGGGGGGGGCGTCGCATCTGTATCCCGGCGGGACAAAGGGAAGGGGCTTCCCTTCGGGAGGTTGCTCAAGGTCGGCTTGGCTGGAGCCCAGGGGAAGAGGAGGGGGGGGGCGTCGTATCTGACCCGGGGGGGGGTCGCTACCCCCCCCCCCTCCCGGCGGGGGAGGGATCAAAGGGAAGGGGCTTCCCTTCGACTCAATTACGAGGTTGCTCAAGGTCGGCTTGGCTGGAGCCCAGGGGAAGAGGAGTCCCAGGGGGGGGCGTCGTATCTGACCCGGGGGGGGGGTCGCTACCCCCCCCCCCTCCCGGCGGGGGAGGGATCAAAGGGAAGGGGCTTCCCTTCGACTCAATTACGAGGTTGCTCAAGGTCGGCTTGGCTGGAGCCCAGGGGAAGAGGTCTCCCAGGGAAAGGGAAGGACAGAGACGACGAGTACAAAGAATGACGGAGATGACGGCTCGAACGGAAAAGCCCCTCACACACGCCGACAGGGTCGGCGGATTTATTCCGGCACGGCACACCCCATCCGCATCGCCCCCGCGCCAGCGCGCCCTTCCGCCTCGACCTTTTTTGTTCGCGCCCCCCCGACCATTTCCCCCCGGCGCGGCGCGCCTACTCCGCGCCCCCCCGCTCGCCAGCCGGCGCGCCCGCCCACCCCGGCCCCCTTTCATTTCGGTGCAGCGCCCCCCTTGCATTCCCCCGCCCGCCAGCCAGCGCACCCCCCCCGCCCCGACCTTTGCACGTCGGCGCGCCCACCTCCCCCCCCGCGCGCCCCACCCGCCCCGACCTTTTGATTTCGGCGCGGCGCGCCCTTCCGCCCCGGCGCCTTTATATCGGCGCAGCGCGCCCCCTCCGCGCCCCCCCCGCCCGCCAGCCAGCGCGCCCTCCGCGCCGGCCCTTTTTAATGTTCGGCGCGACGCGCCCCTCCGCCCCGACCCTTTTCATTTCGGCACGGCGCGCCGCCTCTGCGCCCCCCCGCCCACCAGCCAGCGCGCCCCTCCGCGCCGATCCCTTTCTGTCGGCGCGGTGCGCCCCTCCGCCCCGACCCCGCCCTTTCGGCGCGGCGCGCCCCCTCCGTGCCCCCCCGCCCGCCAGCCAGCGCGCCCCCCCCGCCCCGACCTTTTTTTTTCTCCCACGTCCAAAGTGGGGTTCTTGTTTTCTCTGCGCACCCCGCGCAGGATCACTCACCCCACCCCCTCTCCTCTTCTGCCTTCGCACACTCACTCACTCACTCATCATCATCACCACTCACTCACACTCACACGCACTCACACTCCCTCATCATCAATATCAGCATCATCACTCGCGCTCTCTCACACGCTCAGTCACTCACATACTCATCATCATCACCATCATCATCACCATCATCATCATCATCACTCGCACTCTGTCACACGCTCACTCATTCACATACTCACCTGGAGGAAGTATCAGGCGGGGTCCCCGTCTGTGAGTGAATTGTGAGGAAGTCTCAGGCGGGAGCCCCCTCCCTATGGGGCCCGCACTTCATGTTCGAATCCGAGCGGGTCATCCGCAACGTGCAACTGTCGTCACTTTTGGGCTTTGGATGAGGGGGTCTCGGCGGGAGCAGGCTCGTCTGTGAGTGAATTGTGAGGAAGTCTCAGGCGGGAGCCCCCTCCCTATGGGGCCCGCATTCATGTTTCGAATCCGAGCGGGTCATCCGCAACGTGTAACTGTCGTCACTTTGGGGCTCTTGAGGCCTGAATATGGAGGAAGTCTCGAGCGGGAGCCTCGTCTGTGAGTGAATTGTGAGGAAGTCTCAGGCGGGAGCCCCCTCCCTATGGGGCCCGCACTTCATGTTCGAATCCGAGCGGGTCATCCGCAACGTGCAACTGTCGTCACTTTTGGGCCCTTGAGGACCTGAATATGGAGGAAGTCTCGAGCGGGAGCCTCGTCTGTGAGTGAATTGCGAGGAAGTCTCAGGCGGGAGCCCCCTCCCTATGGGGCCCGCGCTTCATGTTCGAATCCGAGCGGGTCATTCGCAACGTGCAACTATCGTCATTTTTGGGCCCTTGAGACCTTAATATGGAGGAAGTCTCGAGCGGGGAGCCTCGTCTGTGAGTGAATTGTGAGGAAGTCTCAGGCGGGAGCCCCCTCCCTATGGGGCCAGCATTTCATGTTCGAATCCGAGCGGGTCATCCGCAACGTGTAACTGTCGTCACTTTGGGGCTCTTGAGGCCTGAATATGGAGGAAGTATCAGGCGGGAGCCTCGTCTGTGAGTGAATTGTGAGGAAGTCTCAGGCGGGAGCCCCCTCCCTATGGGGCCCGCGCTTCATGTTCGAATCCGAGCGGGTCATCCGCAACGTGTAACTGTCGTCACTTCTGGGCTCTTGAGAATCCGAGCGGGTCATCCGAATATGGAGGAAGTCTCGAGCGGGAGCCTCGTATGTGAGTGAATTGCGAGGACGTCTCAGGCGGGAGCCCCCCTCCCTATGGGGCCCGCACTTCATGTTCGAATCCGAGCGGGTCATCCGCAACGTGCAAGTGTCGTCATTTTTGGGCTCTTGAGACCTGAATATGGAGGAAGTCTCGAGCGGGAGCCTACGGCCCAGCCCGAAGGTTTGCCCCGACGGCTTCGCGATTTAGCCGTCGGCAGACGCGCGCGCGCTGGCCGCGGCGGCGACGGCGCTGAGGAAAATGGATTTGCTTGCCCCGACGAGGGGGCAGGGGAGGTGCACATGGAGAAAAGGCAGGGGGATGAGGAGGGAAGGGGCATGGGGGAGGCCGACGACGAGGAGGAGGTGGCGCGAGAGGAGGAGGAGGAGGAGGAGGAGGAGGAGGAGGAGGAGGGAGGAGAAAGAGGAGGAGGAAGAGAAATAGAAGGGGGAAGAGAGGGCAGTGCAGGGGGCGAGAGGAGAGGGTGTCCGCCAGGGGGAGGAGGAAAGGGCAAAGGGTAATCTAAACAGATTCTCATGCGGGGTCCTACCGTCGGAGTAATTTTCTCGGCATGGCACGCCCCTTCCGCCCCGACCCCTTTATTTCGGCACGGCGCACCCCCTTCCGCGCCCCCCCCGCCCGCCAGCGAGCGCGCCCCCCCGCCCCGACCCCTCCGCCGCGCCCCCCCCCCTCCCCGCCCGCCCGCCCGCTCGCAAGCCAGCGCGCCCCTCCGACCCGGCTTCTTTATTTCGGCGCGACCCGCCCCTCCGACCGGGCCCCTTTCTAACGCTTTGCACAGGGCGTCGAGAGCCCCGACCAGTTTATTCCGTCGCGGCACCCCTCCACCACCCATCCATTCCACAAGCCAGCGCGCCCCCATGTCACCCGCCCCACCCCCCCCCGCCCACCAGCCAGCGCACCCCCTCCGCCCCGACTTACCTATTTCGCTATTTCGGCACGCCCCACACACACACACACACACACACACACACACACACACACACATCCCGCGCGCCCCCTCCGCGTTGCCCCCGCCCGCCACCCAGCGCGCCCAGTCCGCCGCGACCTTTTTTATTTCGGCGCGGCGCACCCCCCCGCCACTCCAGACCATCGCCCCCCCACTCACCCGCCAGCCAGCGCGCCCCCTTCGGCCCGACCCTGCCATTTCTTCACGGCCCCCCCCCCCATGCCGCGCACCCTCATCCGCGCCCCCCCCGTTCGCCCGCCGGCCAGAGCGCCCCCTCCGCCCCGCCCGCTTTATTTCGGCACGGCACCCCCCCCATCCCGCGCGCCCCCCCGCCCCCCAAACCGCGCGCCAGCCGGCGCGCCCCCTCCGCGGCCGACCTTCCTGCACCGGCACGCCCCCCCCCGTCCCACGCGCCCCTTCCGCGCACCCACAACCCGCGACGCCCCCCTCCCCCCCGCCCGCCAGCCGCCGCCCCCCGCCCGCCCCGATCCTTTATTTCGGCACGGCACCCTTCAAAGAAAGAGGGGAAGAGGGGTCTTACTCATCTGCCTCCCGCTGACCATGGCGCTGCGAGGCAGGCGCGCCATGGGCCCATCCCCGTTCTAACAAGCATTCCCCACCTCTTCTCTTGCTCCAGGTCCTGCCCACCATATATATATATATATATATATATGTATAGAATCGCCTCATATTGTCGTTCCGCGTCCGCACTATCGTCGTGTGCGGCCGTCCCATTGTGGGCGCATCGAAGCCGTGCAGCGTATTGGTCTTAAGGTAGCACGTCGCTCGATGCACGTTGGCCTACGGTGCGCATAGCGCGGTGCCAAACATTATTGGCAGTAGTAAGTAGTTGCCGTGGTCGTAGCAGGAGTACCCGCGCGCACGACGCAAAAACGACAGATCATGGTGGAGTGGGATACGAGGCGCCGCGCGGAGTTCGCGTAGCGTTGGGCCTTGTGTTCGCGGAAGTTTTAGTGCACATGGGCACGTTGGTGCACACAGGGATGATAGCGCACGCAATCACCGTGGTGTACACGAGCACGGTGCAAATAGGCATTGGGGTGCACACATGCGCTGTGGGAGGCTCACCAGCACCATGGTGCACACAAGCACTGCGCTGCGCACCAGCACGGTGTTGCATGCGCAGGCATTCCTTTGTGGTTCATTTAACATAGCTGTAGGAACTCGTGCATGGTTGGTGCTGTGGTGCGCAACGGCATTGCGTGCATGCTTGTGTGCACTCAACGTTGTGTGTTTGTGTAGCGGCCGTGCAACATGATTCCCACTGCACGGCCTTCTCCATATATTCTTCTTCCTATAATTGTGCAAGCCAGGGGGGCTGGAAAAACTTTCCCCCCACTCCAAAACCGAACCCCCCAGGATCTGTGGCTCCAGATATTTCCTTGTCGTTTCTGCAGGAAGCCCCCCAGGCTTTCCAGAGCTCCTGGACGCCCCTGCTGGGCCTAGGCACCGGCCCGAATCGGTCAGGACGGCCGAACGGCCTCCCGAGGGCCCCAAGAGGCCCCAGACACCCACCAGACCCCGGAAAACGACCCAAAGAAGACCCCCAAGAGGCATTCGAAACGCAGAAGATGATTGATGTTGCAAGGTCTTTGGATGATTTGGGGAATGCCCTGTTCTTCGGTCTTCAGGGCGCCCGAGACCGCCCAGGCGGCCCGAAAGTCGCCCCAAAAAGTTCCGAAAGGGCTTCAGGCAGTCCGACAGAGCCCCAAGACGGCACAACAGGGTTTCAAGATGGCCCGAAGAAATCCCCATGACGGCCCAAGATGGCCCCAACGTGCCTCCCGACGCATTCAAATCGTGACCCCGTCATTCAGGGAGACCGCGGTTGGAAGAAGGGTGGCCCGAGGAAGCCCCTAGAAGGCGTCCAGGAGGCCTCCAGACGGCCCCAAGAATCCCTCAAAAATTGTCGTGTGGGGCCCTCAAGAGGCTCTCCAAGGAGGAGCCTCTGCAGAAAGAGTTGAGGAGGATGGGGAATCATTCGCAGAGTAGGGCGAAAATGAGGAAGAGGAAGAGGAAACATGAGGGAATGATGATAAAACACAGTACTATGACGGCGCCTTCGGACAAACATACAACGAGTTATCGCTAATTGGTTTGTTTCCGCCTGCATTCCAAACCTCAATAACTAAGGTACATGGCGCGAAGCGTCAAGGCAGTCTGGTGTATAGATCTGCATATATACATATATGTATATCTATTTATATATATATATCGAGAGAGAGAGAGAGAGCTCTATGTATATTGTTGCAAAGGGCCTCCGCAAAAGGAAACGTGTTGCAAGGTCGCCGCCCAAATAATAAGTTTGCAAAGACATCACACGATGAATCGTGCTGCAAGGCCGTCACACATAACACAAACACAAACACATGATGCAAGGAAGCGGTCAGCCCGCTAAGCGGCATGATTTTTTCGTTTTTGAGTCATAATTGCACATTGGCTGTGTATTTGCAAATACAGTGTTGCGTTACTCCATCATCCCCTCGCTAGCACTTGAAATTTGGCCTTGCTGTGTGCTATGCTGTATTATTGATTTCGTTTGCCACCCGCGCAAATTTCACTCCGACTGCTGGTCCTTGGGCAAGATTGTGGGTGCCTCGTGCGTTTGGCACAGGCCAAGTGATGTTCGATATTGCACCGCTTGCATTTACACCGTCGATTGGGTTTATACAGTTGGGTGCGATTGAGAGCAACATAAATGATAGGTCGCAGGTGGGGGCGAACATACATGTGTACGTATAGCATCAAATCTATCGGAGGTGGGGGGCAAGATCGAAGTGTCACGGAGTCCCCGCACCAGGAAATCGGTTTCGGTTTCGTGTCGTGCAGGCGGGCGGGCAGAGCGAAGCTGCGTGGGCGGGCGAGCGGGATGAATTCACCGTTGATGTTGTCGCCCCTCCGGTTAGCCGGCGGTGGCCTGGGGGTTTCCCGCCGGTTGGTTGGTGGTTTGGGGATGTCCCTATGGTGCCCAGATGGTGTCCACATGGTGTCCCGACGGTTTCCCGATGGTGTCCACATGGTGTCCACATGGTGTCCACACGCTTGCCACATGGTGCCCACATGTTGTCTCGATGATGTCCAGATGGTGTCCTGATAGTGTCCCGATGGTGTCCCGATGGTGTCCCAATGGTGTCCCGATGGTGCCCCAATGGTGTCCCGATGGTGTCCCGATGGTGTCCCGATGGTGTCCCGATGGTGCCCCGATGGTGTCCCGATGGTGTCCCGATGATGTCCCGATGGTGTCCTGATGGTGTCCTGCTGGTGCCCCGATGGTTGTCCCGCCGGTTGTCCCATGATAACGGTAGATTCATGGTCAGGGAGATCGATGGATATTGAGACCCATCAGTTGTGAGATCGACAGATGGGCATTATGATCGATTGTGAGATTGAAAGTGAGACGGATTGATAGTTCAATTGCTTGGTTGATAGAGCGCATCACCAGCATTGACACCAGCACAATCATCGCACTTGTTGTCAGTTGGTTCCCCCCAGAACCTCCTCATTGCCCGAGGGCTGTTCGTACACCTGCGTCTATGTGTATATATATGTATACAGATATATGTACGCATCTACACAACTACTTGCATAAACATGTGCATGCATATATAGAGCGAGAGGGACAGGAGGGAGGAGCGGGGTAGGGGTAGGGAGGGAGAGGAATGGTGAGGCCAGGGCAGAGCGATGCCGAGGACCCTCCCCGCCGCCTCGGGGAGGGCGTTCGCGGCCGACTTCCACTTGCGCAGGGACCAGGACGGGCCTGGGCAGGGTGCCCGCCTGTCTCGACCTTCCTGGGGCGATCCCCAGGTTTCTCCGCAGAGGCCTTGGAAACGACAGGGCCGTTTATTTTCCGGTTCCGTTTTTCCCCACCCGACCGCTTGGGGTCGTTAGATTTTAAGAACAGACCTCCCGGCCCGCCCGCCCTGCACATCGCGGCCGCCAGATCCCCAGGCTCCCGATGATCCCTGGTGATCCCTCCCCCCCTCCTCCTTGCATACCGCGGCCGCCAGATCCCCAGGCTCCCGATAATCTTTGGTGGTCCCGCCCCCCCCCGCACTGCGTACCGCGCCCGCCTGATCCCCAGGCTTCCGAGAATCTCTGTTGGTCCCGCTCCCCGCGCCGACTCGCCCACTCTGCATAATGCGGCCGGCAGGCCCAGGTCCCTCGGTAATCGCTGAGGGTCCCGCCCCCCGCGCCGGCTCGCTCATTTTGCATACCGCGGCCGCCAGATCCCCAGGTCCCCCACAGAACAGAGGATAACACCACACCACCGAACAGAACAGATCCGAGCATAACACACCATGTCATGACCGACCATATCGTAACATAACTCATCATGGCAGCAGGGCGTACCATATCACAGTATCACAGCACGTACCATTCCATATCATGGCAAATCAAGCATAGCATAATACATCAACGCGTATTTGGGCACACCGAAACATAACATATCATACCATCAAATGTCATGGCATAGCATATCATATCACAACACTGCATAACAACGAATGTGATGACATATCGGACCACACGTACCACAATATATCATTGCATAACATAACAGGGTGTAACAGAGCACATATTACACCATGTTGTATCAAACCATAGCACAACACAGCTTCACATCACATATCATTACATACCATGACACATCACATCATGACATAGCGCGGCATAAGATGCTATAGTATCGCAAAGACGTAGCATAGCATATAACCATAAGTTATAAGATAGTTGACAACGCAGAACATCGCAGACCACCACACCTCACAACACAACATAACAGAGCATATTATGACACACCATGACAGAACATATCATGTCATGGAATAGTCTGACGGTTTCGGTGGGGATCGTTCGAAGCAAAATAAGTGTTCCCAACCATCTTGTGGTGTTGGGTCCTCGTTTTGAAGAGACGGTGGCCCGCGTCTCCTCTCATACTCTCCTGCTCCTCCCCTCCTCGCCCATTTCGGTACACCCCTCACACGGCTTCGTGGCCCCATAGGGAGCTCCACCGAAGGCCCCAGTGGCCGCGTTCGCATGGCGGCCTCGGGCCATTTCGGCACACCCCTCACGAGGATCGTGGCCCCATAGGGAGCTCCACCGAAGGCCCAGTGGCCGCGTTCGCATGGTGGCCTCGGGCCATTTCGGCACACCCCTCACGAGGATCGTGGCCCCATAGGGAGCTCCACCAAAGGCTCCAGTGGCTGCGTTCGCATGGCGGCCTCGGGCCATTTCGGCACACCCAGTACAGCATTTCGTGGCCCCATAGGGAGCTCCACCGAAGGCTTCAGTGGCTGCGTTCGCATGGTGGCCTCGGGCCATTTCGGCACACCCCTCACGAGGATCGTGGCCCCATAGGGAGCTCCACCAAAGGCTCCAGTGGCTGCGTTCGCATGGTGGCCTCGGGCCATTTCGGCGCACCCCTCACGAGGATCGTGGCCCCATAGGGAGCTCCACCGAAGGCGCCAGTGGCAGCGTTCGCATGGCGGCCTCGGGGCATTCCGGCACACCCCTCACGAGGATCGTGGCCCCATAGGGAGCTCCACCGAAGGCTCCAGTGGCTGCGTTCGCATGGTGGCCTCGGGCCATTTCGGCACACCCCTCACGAGGATCGTGGCCCCATAGGGAGCTCCACCGAAGGCTCCAGTGGCTACGTTCGCATGGTGGCCTCGGGCCTTTTCGGCACACCCAGTACAGCATTTCGTGGCCCCATAGGGAGCTCCACGAAAGGCTCCAGTGGCTGCGTTCGCATGGCGGCCTCGGGCCATTTCGGCACACCCCTGACGAGGATCGTGGCCCCATAGGGAGCTCCACCGAAGGCCCCAGTGGCAGCGTTCGCATGGCGGCCTCGGGCCATTTCGGCACTCCCCTCACGAGGATCGTGGCCTCCACCGAAGGCGCCAGTGGCAGGGTTCGCATGGCGGCCTCGGGCCATTTCGGCACACCCCTCACGAAGATCGTGGCCCCATGCGGAGCTCCACCGAAGGCGCCAGTGGCAGGGTTCGCATGGCGGCTCGGGCCATTTCGGCACACCCCTCACGAGGATCGTGGCCCCATAGGAGCTCCACCGAAGGCTCCAGTGGCTGCGTTCGCATGGCGGCTTCGGGCCATTTCGGCACACCCCTCACGAGGATCGTGGCCCCATAGGAGCTCCACCGACGGCCCCAGTGGCAGCCTCCCTCATGGTTCTTAGAGCCCTCTCCTGCTTCTGCTCCTCGGTCAGGGGGGCGCCGTCCTCGTCGTCGTCGGCGCCCGCGAAGACGGCCACGAACGTGTCCCTGAGCATGTCGGGCTCCGACGGGAAGTTGTGGCCACATCGGGAGCGCGGGCGAAGATGTTATTCACAATTGCGGTAGTCACAACTGCGCATGGTTGGGTCTTTCGCCAGGCTAATTGTCTTGTTCGGTTCCATCGAAGTTTGTGCGTTTGGTTCTGTCGTTGCTTGTTCGGTTCCGGTTCCGCCTCTGGCGTTGTTCCCAGCCATCCTGTGGTGTTGGGTCCTCGTTTTGAAGAGACGTCGCCCCGCATTCTCCTCCTCTCCTCTCCTCCTCCCCTCTCCTCCTCCCCCTCCTCCTCCTTCTCCTCCTCCCTGCGTTCCACCCACCCAGTAAAGCGTTTCGTGGCCCCATACGGAGCTCCACCGAAGGCCCCAGTGGCAGCGTTCGCATGGCGGCCTCGGGCCATTTCGGCACACCCCTCACGAGGATCGTGGCCCCATGCGGAGCTCCACAGAAGGCCCCAGTGGCAGCGTTCGCATGGCGGCCTCGGGCCATTTCGGCACACCCCTGATGAGGATCGTGGCCCCATAGGGAGCTCGACCGAAAGCGCCAGTTGCAGGGTTCGCATGGCGGCCTCGGACCATTTCGGCACACCCCTCACGAGGATCGTGGCCCCATAGGGAGCTCCACCGAAGGCGCCAGTGACAGCGTTCGCATGGCGGCCTCGGGCCATTTCGGCACACCCCTGACGAGGATCGTGGCCCCAGTGGCAGGGTTCGCATGGCGGCCTCGGGCCACTTCGGCACACCCCTCACGAGGATCGCAGCGGCAGGGTTTGCATGGCGGCCTCGAGCCATTTCGGCACACCCCTTATGAGGATCGTGGCCCCAATGGGAGCTCGACCGAAGGCCCCAGTGGCAGGGTTCGCACGGCGGCCTCGGGCCATTTCGGCACATCCCTCACGAGGATCGTGGCCCCATAGGGAGCTCCACCGAAGGCCCATAGTGGCAGGGTTCGCATGGCGGCCTCGGGCCATTTCAGTACACCCCTGACGAGGATCTGGCCCTATAGGGAGCTCCACCGAAGACCCCCAGTGGCAGGGTTCGCATGGCGGCCTCGGGCCATTTCGGCACACCCCTCACGAGGATCGTGGCCCCATGGGGAGCTCCGCCGAAGGCGCCAGTGGCAGGGTTCGCATGGCGGCCTCGGGCCATTTCGGCTCACGAGGATCGTGGCCCCATAGGAAGCTCCACCGACGGCGCCAGTGGCAGGGTTCGCACGGCGGCCTCGGGCCATGTGGGCACACCCCTCACAAGGATCGTGGCCCCATAGGGAGCTCCACCGCAGGCCCCCGTTGCAGGGTTCGCACGGCGGCCTCGGGCGATTTCGGCACACCTCTCACGAGGATCTTGGCCCCATGCAGAGCTCCACCGAAGGCGCCAGTGGCCGGGTTCGCATGGCGGCCTCGGGCCAGTTCGGCACACCCCTCACGAGGATCGTGGCCCCATAGGGAGCTCGACCGAAGGCCCCTGTGGCAGGGTTCGCATGGCGGCCTCGGGCCATTTCGGCACACCCCTCACGAGGATCGTGGCCCCACAAGAGTTCCACCGAAGGCGCCAGTTGCAGGGTTCGCATGGCGGCCCCGGGCCATTGCGGCACACCCCTCACGGGGATCGTGGCCCCATAGATGTGTTGTTTCAACAACCGCGCCTGGGCGTCGTACTCCGCCTTGTCAACGTGCAACGCCACCTCCTCCCTCATGGCTATCAAAGCCCTCTTTTGCTTCTGCTCCTCGGTCAGAGGGACGCCGTCCTTGTCGTCGTCGGCGTCCGCGAAGACGGCCACGAACGTGTTCCTGAGCATGTCGGGTTCCGGCGGGAAGCTGTAGCCACATAGGGAGCGCGGACAAAGATGGTATTCACAATTCCGGTATCCACAATTGCATATGGTTGGGTCCTTCGCCTGGCTAACGTTTGTTTCTGTTCTCGTGTCTATACATATATATATACATACATACATACATACATATACATATATATATACATTAAGTGTAGTGGCGTTCGGCCAGTGCCGCCGATCCGTGTCGCTTGGGGTGCCCCCCGACTGGGCGGCGACACTTCGCCGACAGACGCGCGCGCACACGCTCGCAGACATTGCGCGCACACGCACACACACGCACACACACAACACACACACAGACACACACACACACCACATTCACACACGCGCGCCACCTTCGCAGGCACATACACGCGCACACGCCGGCAACACACACATACACACACACACACACACACACACCACGCACACCGCACAACACACACACACACACACACGCACACACACACACACACACACACCACACAACAGACACGCATTTCACCGCCACCTTCGTCTTCCCCCATTTGTTTCCCGTTTTCGTTTCTTGTCCCGTTCTACTTTTCGCTCTCTCTCTCTCTCTCTCGCTCTTTTTCCCCGATTCCCTTTTCGCTTGCACCGACAAGCATTGCCCCCCGCGCGCACCCCTCCCTCCCCTCCTTCCCCGGCAGAGCCACCCCGGCAACCCCCCCAGAGGAAAAAGATCATATCTGTTTCTATTTCCATTTCCATATTTGTATATTTATATATATATATATGGCGGAGTTCACAATCAAGGGCCAGATTCTTGGACACGGTAAAACGTCGAATCGTTTCTAATGCCTCTTTGGCCAGGCTGGCACCTTGACATTTCACCCGATGTGTTCCGCAATGTTCCGTCCGGGGGTTGGTCAAGTTGTCTGTGACCCTAGGTGTTTTTAGCCTCTCGCTCCGTTTTGGAACCGTCTGGGTTTCTCTGGAGGCTGTGGGGGCCGCCTTGGAGGTCCTGCGTCCCTGGCCCAAGTTGCCCCTAACTCCAACCCCCCCATACTAATCAGAGGAGTTGTTTTTCCCCTTCGCTTTCGCTTCCCAGCCAAACCAAATCATGCCATGCACCCCGTGCGCGGCAGCACGGGAGTCAGCGCCCCCCGCCGCATCGCAGTCACAAGCCATGGAATTCCCAGATATAGTCCAGGACGACGAGAGGTATCGCACTGGAGCGACTTGGTACGATGCCCGGAAGCATGGATATTGCACCAAGGCGCTCTCCAGTACGGCACCAGGAAAAGGTGGTACAACCCCTCAAAAATTAGGCATTTCACCGAACGCGTTTGGTATTATACAAACTTCGCGTTTGCAGCGTGAGTTTACACATGCGGGCCCGGCCGACGTGCATGTGGTACGATACCGGAAAATCTGGTATAGTATGATGTTTCCTGGTATTGTACCGGAGCGTCGTTTGTTACGATACCTTGCGTCGTCCGGGACAGTGCTTAGGAGTCCTGTGGTTCGGCAGCGCGGAGTGTTGGAGGGCGCGTGCGAAATTAGGTAAGATCGGCGACCATGTCGGTCATGTTTTGACACCCGCGATCGCGATCGCTTCCCCCGCGAGCAAGTTGGTATTGGCCGGTTCCCGTTCGGAAGCGAGGGTGGTCAAAAGCGAGGTTGGTTTTGGCGCTTTCTATTTGTGGCCCGTCGCGACGGGCGGGATGCGCCGTCCTGGGGGCATGGGTCGCAAGAACAAAGTGCCAGAGGCCTGGGGGTGCCAGGGCGCGGTGGGGGGTATGGGTAGGTTTCAGGCCAGAAATTGTCGGGTGGGGGTCCCACGAACAGAGTTCCAGAGCGCCGGGGACTGGGGCATATCGGTACGTTTCAGGCCAGGAATTGTCGGGTGGGGGGCCCCAAAAACACAGTTCCAGAGGCCTGGAGGCGCCGGGGCGCGGTGGGGGGCGTCGGTGATTTCAGACTAGAATTGTCGGGCGGGGGCGTCCCAAGAAGAGAGTTCCAGAGACCTGGGGGGGCCGGGGCGCGGTGGGGGGTATCGGCTAGTGGGGGGTCCCAAGAACAGAGTTTTAGGGGCCTGGGGTTGCCGGGGCGCGGTGGCGGGCATCGGTAGGTTTGAGGCCAGAAATTGTCGGCTTGGGGGCCTCAAGGACAGAGGTTCCGATGGGGTGGTCTGGTGAAAGCGTGGTGGAAGCAGGGCGGGAGGGTCCTGGGGCGATTTGTGCAGCATGGGCGGACACGAAGAATTCAGTGCCAAAGATTCCAGGAGGCTGGCGGTGTCAGGTGCGGTGGGAGCGAGGTGGGAGCGTGGTGGAGACAGGGTGGGAAGTTCCCGGGGCGATTTTTGCAGGGTGGAATATTTTGGCACGTGCACAAAGGATGCCGCACACGCCTCTGGGGTCGGCGGAATGACAATTACAGTAATGGAGCGAGAGACCGAGGCGGAGGAGGGGGAGTGAGACGCGGGGCTTTGCATATTCAAAACGAGGACCCAACACCACAGGAGGTTGAGACAAACAGTGCGAAACAACATTAGGTTTGTTTTTACCACCTGCTCTTCACCAACCCATGGTTTCGTCACTTGTTTTCTGTTCACTGGAGGGCTCTCTGAGCTGCTGGGGCTTCGAACTTCGGAGAAGGAGAATGACGGAGCTTGGCGCACCTACGTCTCACTCGAAGCATTCCGCAATGCTCACAGGTGTCGCGGGCGAGGGGTGCGCAATGTCTTTTATTGGTGACGACATTGCGCCCATGGGATTGTGGTTCCGCTTGCTATCACTGGCCCCAGGGCCCTTCTGCGGCTTGTGCAGAAGACGACATTATAGGAGATGAAGGATCTCTTCTCGCGTCTGGGGATCACTCCAAATTGTCGGCCCAACTCGGAGAGGTCCCGGAGGTGTTATTGAGTTGAGACGTAGTGAAGATTTGATGAAGTGGAGATCATACGTGTGAAGAGGATACCTTGGCATTGTTCATTTGTTTCTGCATCAGCCTGATACGGTCATGCTCTCCGCTGATATGATCAGTTTGTCCTGCAGACCAGCTCGCATTCTTTGTACGCGGAATGGGACAGGCGCATAGGAGTTGGGATGTGTGCGAGGACACGCGTATTGACTATCTCTTACGTAATTTGTTTTTCAAAGTTTCACTTACATTGTCTGGCCGTCGTACCTGTGTACTTGCCCTGCCAAGAACGCTCTGCAGGATCAGGGCCGACCGAAGGAATGGGGAAGACGATGGATCAACGGCTTGCCTGAGCCGGTCACCAAGTACATCCTCGCGGTTCCCAGACTCAGGAGAGCCTTTTAGAGGATTTGTCAATGTTGCCAAGTCTGAGCGTGAGGAAATGTGAGCGTAAGCGCGATATAAGACAGGATAAGTGTTCACATCGAGAGACATCAAGAGTGATCCGCCCAAGCGGAGAAGAACCGAGTGGAGATCGATGATTAGATTTCAAGGCACGGCTGCGCGGTGTGTGCAAGATGTCTTGGGCCTTGGACGCGGAGCGCAGGTGTATGGAGAGTGCGAGGGTGGAAGCCACTGACGAGAGGGGAGGCGGAGCACGGGGAGGACTAGGATGAGCAGGTGCAGGAAGAGTGAGCGCACAGTCAGCCCGCGGAAGTGCCCAACCCACTGGGGTGCTCAGAGAGTGGCAGTGGTTCTTCGGATCTGTTTGCACCCCTCTCGACGGCAGTTGCGGATCTGTTTCGCGATCTCTGCTCATGTGGTTCGTGATGCGAACGGCACGCACGCGAGTTAGCAGGGCCTACATCGAACCACGTGGATATTGTGACGAACAGCAAGTGGCAGTGGCTCTTCGCTCGGGGGCACGCGGCGAGGCGAGGTCGCACTGGTGGAGGGGGTCTGTGTTGGACACCGCCGCGCTGAACCGCCACAGTGGCGGCAGCTCCTGCTCTCTGGGAGCGATCATGCAGGCGAGCTCCAATTGGGGTCCGCGCGGGGCACTGCTCCCCGGGACTCCTCATCTCGGGGGCAACGCTTTGGAATGACCGCGGCGCTGGGTACCATCTCCAGGGCCACAAGATTTCAGAGATCCCTGATGACTCATCCCTGTCCGATCTTGTCCCAGTCTTAGCTTCGCCTTAGGCGGCGAGGCCCTCCCATTTGGGGTCTGCGCAGGCCACCGGTCCGTTGCACTCCCTGGGGGCTGGTCGAAGGCAGTTCTGTTCGGGCGGACAGCAACAGGGAGGCAACACACTTTTTTGACTCGCGGGTCGAGAGCGCACCTCTTCCGGTCCAAGCTGAGCGGGCCGCGCGAAGCTTGAATTGACAAAGAGGGGGGGGACGGAAGGAGAGGCCTCACGTCAAGGCCAGGAGGAGGCGGGGAGGCACCACACGCAGGGGGGTCGAGGGCTGCAGGAAGGCGGCCCCAAGGGAGCCCCCGGACACCTCCGGAACTGCCACCGCGGGCCCAAGAGGTTCACGGCGTGTGCCTCACGGCCGTGCGATGACCCACCAGCGCAGTCACGGGGTGCCAAAAGGCCGTGTAGGCCTTTTGGTATTCTCGGCCTCCAGGGGCCCTCGACGGGCCCCAGGACCCATCAGAGCACGACTCGAGACGGAAAACCTACCCTGGGGACGCAGGTAACAAGCAGGGAGTCCAGGTTGTATTTTGGCATGTGCGGATCGGACAGATCCGCTGGACTCCTCAGGGGTTTAGCAGTTGGCGATAGGACCACGTTTGAGAGTTCTCAAGACGGAAGGCGAGGGGAATAACCATGATGACGAAAGAGCGTAAGGATGGCAAGAGGGAATAACCAGATGGAGAGGGGAGGAGGGCGGGGCTCGTTTCGACTCCTCCGATCCGATCCGATTCGATGTCGATAGGTTCCGATTCCGAGTCGATTCGATTTGGGATTCCGATCTTAATTCCGATTCTTCAGTGGAGGTTTGATGGGGGCTCTCTTCGAGAAGGGAGGAAGACAGAACAGAAAGTTTGTATCCCTTCATCACTCACCATGATCAGCCGCTCAATGGGGGGAGCCATAGCCCCCTTCGCAGGAACTGGCGAAACTCATCCGATCATGATGCATACAATCAGTGAGTCGTATTGAGGTTGCTGCACCTTGGCTGCAGCAATGTGTTAGGAATTTGATGGGGCCTTAGCTGCCGCAATGTGTTAAGACATGAAGGGTGGAGTGTGGCTAGTAGTGGTCTGTCAGGTGAGCGGACTGCCTGATCTCCTGTAGACGTCCCTCAGACTTGAGGTAACTCGTTCACACGTTTGAAATGGTTATCCATGAGCGAGGTTGCAGTGCTCACAGGGTCGGTTTCGGGCTCGAGAGCAGCATCGTTATCGAGTTTGGCTTACGCATCGTAGCGACTTGGTTCGATGACAGCTGGCCCAACACGGCGGCAGCGGGGCTGGAGGCTGTGTTGGTAAGAAACTAGATTGCGTCGACGTCCTCCCGCGAGATGACTTGCTCCCACGGGCCATGGCGGTCCTTGACCAAGATGTTGCGTGCGCGTAGCAGGGGGGAATGCGTCGCATTCGTAAAAACACAGCGTTTCGGGCCCGAACCGCTGTGCTGAATTTTGGGCCGTTTCGCACGAAATTTGAACATGGCATTCGTGAGCGTTTGTAGTGTAATGTACAGCACTTTTGTCGCGCCAGAGCTGTTACACCGCCAAACGCTGTCATGAACCCGTGGTCGTTGCGAAGAAAAGATGTAAATCCGTATACGTATTCGAGCATACACATAATTCCTCTCGCTTCGCGAGATGCACGTCCAGAGCACGTGCAGTCCAGACGTTGTGGGACCTGGTGGAAGCCTCTTGTGGGCTTCTTGGGATCTCTTAGGGGGCTTATTTGGGGCCTCTTGGGGGCGTCTTGGTCCGTCTTGCGGCGCTCTTGCGCCGTTTGACTTCTTCGGAGGCAATCGTTTGGGCCTCTCGCAGCCGCCGTGGGGCTCTGTTGGGGTCCTCTTGGGCAATATCGGGAGCCTCTTGGACCGTCCTGGGGGCCTCGTTGGGCCGTCTTGGGGCCCTTTTGGGCCGTCTAGTAGACCTCTTGGGGGACTCTCGGGCCGTCCTGGGACCATTCTGGAGGCTGCTTGGGCCGCCATGGACCTCTAAGGATAGAACAAGACGAGAACGTTAACATCCTTCAGGCGAAATAATAATTAGGGCCTCTGGTGTCTTGGGGTAATTTTGGGCCATCTTGAGGCCCGCTTGGAGTCCCAAGAAGCCCAGGAGGCCGAATACACTGATTTTCCATAGGTTGTTGTAGGCCTTGAGCCCCGGAATTAGGGCCTACACCTTTGGTGCGGCACTGTGGCGCGGCTCCAGGAGGGGGTTAGGGGGGGACATAAGAATGTAACTCAATACAAGATGTACCAAGTATGTAATAACGGGGTACATTGCAACTGCGCAGTCATTGGGTACATTAGATACGTTGCATTACAGCATCCGCGGGCTTGCTTCCGGTAACACCTCCCTTCCGGACGTGGGTAGTTGTTCAGGAGGTCTGCGCCATTTCGCAGACCCCCAGAAGAGAACATATGCGGCTTCTGGTTTCGTATGTGTTGTTTGTTTTCCTCTTCCTTTGCGGCTGTTGCGGGGTTTCTTGGAGGCCAGCTGGAGACTTCAGGGGCGACTTCCTGGGAGCCTTTTCGCGGCACCTGGGGACTTCTGGGGGACCTCTGAATATTTGTCCGGGGCATTTTGGAGGCATGTTGGGCGTATTGGGAGCCATTTTTGGGGGAGAGGGCCTCCAAGGCCCCTACAAGCTCTCCCTTTGGGGCCTCTTTGGCCCCTCCTGGGGCCCTCTTGCCCCCTTGGGCCGTACTGGGGCAATCTTAGATGGTCAGGGGGCCTCTCCGCCGCGTTTAAGAACCCTTTTTGCTTGCTGTTTTGGGCCATCGAAGGGGGCATCTTCGGTATCTTGGAAGCGTCAGAGGTGGATCTGGAGGCTTCGAGGGCCCCAGAGGTGCATTGACGAATTCGTCCCCCCTTCCCCCCCTTCACTTTGTATTTTGGGGACCCCAGGGGAGAAGAGCAAAGGATATGGGAACAGCCAGATGTCCTACTCGCCTTTCCACCCCTGGCAAGCGGGTGTCCTGTTTTTGATGGTGTCGAGGCAGTCCCAAACGAGGCCCGGCGCCCTCGAGATCCCTCAACTTTCGCATTTCGCCCGAGACATCCTCACCAAAATGAGTTGTTCGCAACGTCGTCTTCCACAACAACGAGCATTTCGCTTGAGACAATCACCAGAAAATGAAAACCGAAAATTTAACAAACATGTGGGAATGGGGATATCGCCTGAGACGTCCTCGAAACATGAGATGCTCACAAGGCTGATTTAAGAACATGCGTTTTAAGACTGCCCTTCTTCGCCTGAGACATATTCAGAACATGGGCAGGATCACGGCAGTCCGACACGCAGAAGCACGGCAGAACGCGCGAGCGCACGGCAGAACACGAGAGCACGGCAAAACACACAGGAGCACGGCAGAACCCAACGAACACACAGGAGCACGGCAGAACAAGCATGAACACAGAAGAACACACAGGAGCACGGCAGAATACACAGGAGCATTCCGTAGCCATCTTGGCTCAAGGCCATGGAGAACCCGACGACCGCGAGTCGTTCGCGGCGCTCTGAGCGCGAGGGTCTCCGCGCTTCGGGCCAGTGCACTTCGAGTTTGTGTTTCCTGCTTTCGCGGCGCGAAGGCGTGGCCCCTCGGCCAGCTCTGCAGTGGCCATGGCGAGGTCCCCACGTGGCGGCGGCAACAGCAGGCGCGGCAAGTCCTATTGGATGTGCAGCTGCGGAGGATGGAACTGGGACTGGCGCGCCTCGTGCCTTGGCCGTGGGCATGCGGCTCCGCCCTGGGCGCGTGGAATGTCCCCCGCCAAGGCGAGGCCCAAGGCAGACAAGGACGGATGGGTGGATCAGCCACGTGGGCGCCGTGTCCAGAGGCAGGCCCGCAGTGCGGCCTCGCGGGGAGCCTCCGCCAAGTCGCAGACCTCGGCGTCGGCAGCGAGTGGGGCGCCCAGCGGTGGAGGCGCCACGGCGACCGAGAGGCTCCAGGCGGCAGTCGAGCAGCTCGAGGCGCTGCAGGCCGAGCCGCCTGACGGCGTGGACGGCTGCTTCACCGACGTCGTGGCCAGCCAGTTGGAGGTGAAGCGCGCCGAGCTGGGCAGAGACCCAGAAGGCGGCAGCAGAGCAGAAGGCCTCCTCCCTGCCACGGGCAGCGCAGCTCCACAGGGAGGCGAACGCCATCAGCAAGGGTGAGAAGCGGCTCCGCGCAGCCCGCCAGGAGCTCCAGCAGAAGCAGGCGGCGCGTAGCCTCGTCGAGGCAGAAGGCCCAGGAGGAGCTCGCGGAGCTCGACGCGCAGGTCGAGGAGGCGAGCCGTGCGCTCCAGGTGCTCGAGGAGGCAGCCCGCGAGGAGGCCGAGGCGCTGCGCCGCCAGCGTGCTGCCGAGTGGGCAGGAGCCAGCCAGGTGCCAGGGCCCCTCATGCAGCTGGAGAAGTTGCCCGCGGCCTGGGGCCCCAGCAACTTCGAGGTGGCCCGGGCAGCCATCCGCGCCCAGGTGGAGGCGGTGCGAGCGCAGCTCGCGGGGGCCCCAGTGGCCCCCAAGCGTGCGCCGTGGGCTGAGTCCTGCCCCATGGAGGAGATCAGCAGCGACGATGGCGATCTCGCACGTAGCGGTAGCTCCTGGCAGCCACAGCCAGCAGCAGAGCGAGGCCAAGCCGAGCGGCGTGGCAAGGCGCATGACGAGTGGCCGACGGTGGCCCAGGCATGCAAGCGGGGGCTGGCTGCAGAGGCAGCGGACCTGGCTCCTCTGGCTGCTCGTCATGCTGGCCGCGCCACTGGGGGCCGCGTCGGAGGAGCACAGCCAGGGCCAACGAGTGCCTAGTCAGACCAGGGCGGCAAACCTGCACCAGCACGAGTGCGGCCACGTCGAGGGCGCCCTGGTGGAGTCCCACGGCGTCGACGTCAGCGACCCGCCCAGGTCCCCGGGGCACGCCGCAGGGCCCAGCATTGTCCTCATGCCCCAGGGCGCGGAGGAGAACGAGGTCGGGGCCCACGTGTCCGGCACTAGCGAGTGGAGCGACCCCATCGGCCAAGCAGGCGCACCTGGGCACCCCGATGCGATGGCGGTGAGAGCGGACCTGCAGCAGCCGGCCGAGCTGCCATTCTGGGCGCGCGCTCGGAGGCTGGAGGCGGCAGCAGCCAGGCACGCCAGGGCCACCACTGCGGCGCGCGGCGCCTCGCCCGCCGACGCGGCGGCGCGGCCCCTGGAGCGGTTCGGCCGGGACTTCGAGTCGGAGCCGAGCATGGTCGTGGACCCCGGCGACGCGTTCGATCCCATGTTCCTCGAGCCTCGGGCGATGAGCTTTGAGGCAAGCTCGGTGGCCCTGCAGGCCTCCAACCGCCACGAGAGGCAGAAGCTCAGCTGCGACCCCCTCTTGCTGCGGCTGTTGTTCGGGGACGCCATCGAACAGCTGCTCGGGCCAGGAGTCGAGCTGCGCGTGAAGGGACAACACGCGCGAGGTGTCTACATCTCCAACACACACACTGGACGATGAGGGTCTGGAGGCTTCGGCATCCAGCCGATGGCAGGCTCAGCGGCAAGCTGTACCTAGACGGCTCGGCCAAGAGTAGCGAAGGGCTCCCTCCTGCTGGCGAGCGCCGCCAGGTGCTGGCCGCTGCGGCTGCGGAGCCTCCTCTGGCTGGAGTGGCCCTTGGCTGCGGCGCCCCTGCCAAGCGGCCGCGCCCGGAGAGCGGCCGCTCGACGGGGAGCAGTACGGCAGCCCTCTCGGCCACCGCTGTCGCCTTCAGCATCCTGGGGCACGTGCTCAGCCACGCCTGCGCGGCGGGGGCGAGGGCTCCATCCTGGAGGCAGGCCGCGAGCGGACGAGCAGAGAGTGAAGGGAGAGGGCACCCCTGCCTTGCGCTCGCAAGGGCCGGTGCCAGGGCACGCCCAGGAGCGCTACCTGGAATGGCTCGGCATGGAAGCGGAGCCTGCAGGAGGCCTCAGCTGCGGCCAGCAGCTCTGGCAGCGGCCCAGCGGCCCCTGCGGCGGCGCTGGCGGAGGGGGCTGCGGCTGCCAGCCTGCCCCAGCAGCGCCCAGGCCCGGCGAGCGCTGGGCCCCTCGGCGCAAACGAGGACACCGAGGAGGTGAACGCGGCCGCGGGCGCAGCGGCGAGCGACGGCCAGATGAGCCGCAGGGTCCGCCGCCGTCTGGCGCGCCGCGGCCTGGAGACTGAGAGTGAATGAAGGCTTCCCTACCTTCCCGCCAGCGCCTGTTGCTCCCTTGTGAGTTGGCTCGCGTGTCTGGTTTTGCTTGGGACTCGGAGTCTCTCGGGACTTTGGTCCCGCCTGGCCCTGTTCCCGTTTTCCTCCCCTTCCCAGTGCCTTGAAGGCCCCGTCTTTCATTTTAACTTTAACACGCGGGAGCACGATGGGCACGGCAGAACCCACATAATGCATAGGAGCACGGCAAAACACATAGGAACATGGCAGAACACGCAGGTGCACGGCAAAACACACATAACACATAACATACAGGAACACGGCAGAGCGCACATGAACACGGCAGAACAAGCTGAAGCACGGCAGAACACAGGAGCAAGAGGAGCACGGCAAAGCACGGCAGAACAAGCAGGAGCACGACAGAAAACACACGAGCACGGCAGTACACATAGGAGCACGGCAGAACACATACACGCATGGCAATATTAACGACAAACCACGCAGGAGCACGGCAGAACACGCAGGATCACGCGGAGCACGGCCGATCACACAGAGCACATAGGAACGCGGCAGAACACACAGGAGCACGGCAGAACACACAGGAGGAGCGCGGCAGATCACACAAACACACATAGGAGCACGGCAAAACACGCAGGAGCATGGCGGAACACGCAGGATCACGGCTGAACATAGGAGCACGGCAAAGCAGGACCATGGCAGAATACATTGGAGCACGGCAAACCACACGGGAGCACGGCAGATCACGCAGGAGCACGGCAGAACACATAGAACAATTTCCGTAACCATTTTGGTTCATGCCTGCCTCGGGCGCGCGCGCGCGGGCGTCTGGGCACGATGGCGCGGGATGTCGCCCCGCGCGGCGACAGTCGGCCTGATGCGAGCGGCGGCCCTGGCTGGCCATCCTCGGCCAAGCGTCGGGAGGCGCGCAGGGCAGCGGCTGCGGCGGCTGAGGCAGCCGTGCACCGCCTGTCGCTCGAGGCGCGGGCCTGGCGCCGGCTCCACGAGGACCTGGCGGCGGCCCTCGGGGCTGCGGGCGCGGGCGGCGAGCTGAGCAGGCGCTTGGCAGCGGCCGCCCCTGCCTTGGCTGCCTTCATCCGCGGGGAGGTGCCAAGTGCGGTCGAGCGCCTGAGACGGAACGTGGCCCTCCATGCGGAAGCTGAGGGCACCGACCTGCCGGGCGCTGGGGCCGCGCAGCTCCGCGTGGCGCAGCACGGCCCGAGGCTCGGCGCAAAGCCCGCGGCTCCCGAGGCGGGCGCCTTCGGCGGTGCCTTAGGGGAGCGGCTGGACGATGAGCCTGACGAGGATGCGCGCGCACTGCTGGCAGGCGCGGGGGCGGCGGGCCCGCTCCCTGAACTGCCCGCCGGTGCGCTGCGCGCTGTGGACCTGGAGAAGGCCTTCTCGGAACCGCGGTTGGCGCCGGGCATGTGGGCCAAGGCGCATGCCGAGACGGTGTCCTTCGTTTCGGGCCTGGCGGCGGGGTGGCGCCCGGCTGAGCGCGAGCCTCGGCCGCCACCGGGGACGCGGTGCACTTGTGGTGCCGTTGTCTTCTCGGCCCCGCCGGTGGCCTCCGAGGCGCCCCTGGCGGCTTGGCAGACGGAGCGCGCCCTGGCGCCGCCGCCGCGCCCAGCGCTCCTGGAGTGCAGGTCAGGATCACAAGTGGGAAGTGTGGCAGCCGCCGCGGCCGCGTCCGACGACCTGTTGCTGGGCGCGCCGGGCATCGTGGGCTACGACGGCGAGAGAGAGCGCGGCGGCGACGGGGACGACCGCGGCGCCTTCGTGGACCACGCCGCGCCTGCGGCCGGCGTGTCCTCGCCGCTGCTTTGGTACGTCGGCGGCCGCCTGGGCGAGGCCGTCAGCCACAACGACAGCGACGACGACAGCGTAGGCGGCCAGGGACAGGAGCATGCCGACTGCGATGCTGCCGCTGCCTGCTCCGCCACCGCTGAGTTGGCGCTCAGTGGAGTGATCGCGGACTACCTCGGCGAGAACGAAGCCGCACTCCTCCGTGGAGACGGAGACGGCGGTCGAGCTGCCGCGAGGCTCGCTGAGCTGGCCCTGCCGACCGAGGACGCCGAGGGCGAAGTGCGGCGAGATTGGGGTCGTGAGTGAATGTTCTGTGAGTTCTGCCTCCTGCATTTGAATGTGCACGTTGTGTATTTGCAATGCAGTCGAGCTGGTTGTTCAGTGAGTTATGCCTCCTACATTCGAATGTGCACGTTGTGTATTTGCAATGCAGTCGAGTCTGGGTTGTGATTTTGCCTCCTGCATTTGAATGTGCACGTTGTGTATTTGCAATGCAGTCGAGCTGGTTGTTCAGTGAGTTATGCCTCCTGCATTTGAATGTGCACGTTGTGTATTTGCAATGCAGTCGAGTTTGGATTGTGATCATGTGTAGCTTCTGTTCTCGCAGTGCTTGCATGATTGGCTTGGGCGGGTTGGGGACCTGAGCCAGTGGCTTTGCCGCCCGCCTTCCCTGGCCCTTGCTGAGAGGCGGCCCTAGGTGGCCCCTCTCGGGTGGGCGTGTCCCCGCCTGGCCCTGTCTGCGTTTCTGGCCACCACTTTCCTTGAAGGCCCCGTCTTTAACTTTAACTTTAACACATAGAACATCTATCCACACAGGCGCACGCACATAGGCACACGCACACGCACAAGCACACACCGACACATACGCACACACACACACACGCATACACACGCACACACAAAGAGGCAACGTACGTTCACGCAGACCGCAGGAGCAAGGCAGGGCAGCACGGCATGACACAGCAGTACCGCAGACCACCATGCACGGACACACATGCACAGATTCCACGCATGCACGCGCACGTGCAGACGCACGCACGCCACGACAGACTTGCGCAGCGCATATTAAGAACGTAGGATATCTCATAAGCCCAGGACACAAAAGGACGCTTCCCGTTTTTGTCCGGTCAGGTTCCCCCCCCGTTCCCCCCATCATTTTGCTTTCTCAGCTCCCGTTTCTGTCTTCCGCCTCGTTCTGTCGTCGACCGACAATTATTATTGCCCTTTCTTATTTCCTTTTCCCGCCACCACGCCTTTAGATCTTTAGAATACCATGTCACGTTTTTGGGGGAATTTTGCAACAGTATGTTCGGCGTTACGGCGCCTTCGCCGAGCTCCTGATGAGGCTGTCCTACAGGACGTTTCTTCGCCGAGCTCCTAATGGGACCGTCCTACGGGGCGTTTTCCCGCGTCTGTCTGCCTGTCTGTCATTTCCTGTCTCCTCATGCCCCCCCGCATCCCCCCCTCAGACTCATCTGTTATCTCACCTCTCCGCCCCTCTTTTGTCGCACGGGCGCATGTTGGAGGCTGCTGGGCGTTCTGAGCTGGATGAGCCCAGCAAGATCGGTCAAGAGGGGGGTCATCAGGCCAAACTTGCCAATCGGTTCCCAGACCCCTCCCGGGGTCGAAAGTCACACGTTTTTCGGGCCGCGTCGTGCCGTGGCCACGAGAAGCCCCCGTGAGGTCCAAAAAGGCCGAAACGAGCCCCTTTTTTCCCCCATCCTTTCATTTGTGTCCATGTATTTGTGTGTTCCAGGGCCTCCTCACGTTCTGCTGATCAGAACCAGTCCTGGGCAACCTCAGGCCCCCAGCCGACTCCAAGGCGCATGCCTCCTCAGTGCTCCTCTGCAGGCTGCTCTTCTGCTTCGTCCCGAAGAACGCCTGCACGCAGTTCGCCAGGAGCACCCGCGCAGCTGGCGACGGCGGCCGCGCGGGGGCCAGGATGGGGCGGGGGAGGCGAAGGGTCACGGTGAGTTGCGGATGTGGCGCCCCCCTTCGAATGCCTCCTCCTCCTCCTCCTCCTCCTCCTCCTCCTCCTCCTCCTTCTCCTGAGTGGCGTTGTTCACCAGCAGCACAAAGTTGGACCCGGCAGGGGCTCGGAGGTGTCCCCGGCCTGGCTTCCGGCCTTCAGGATTGCTTATAGGCGACGCTCGAGGCTCTGGGTTCGAGCAGGCTTGTGCTCTTCTCGGCAGTCCGGGGCCGTCGGCGGGCCCCGCCCGGGACAGTCTTTGCAGATCTGCGGTGAAACATTGCGCCAGATGCACCCCAGGAGGGGTGCGGAGATCGATTCTTAGCGGATCGGCCTTGACGTCCCCTTGTCAGAATTTCCCCTGGCTTGTCCAGCTCAGACGCTTTGGGTGCCTCCGATGGATGCGGTTCTTTTGCCCGGAGTCCTCCGTTATAACAGAGCGAGCAATGAGCGATCGCCGCGATCGGCGTTCGGTCCGTATCCCTGTTGCTGCTGCCCCCGATTGGGCGCCAGGTGCAGCAGGGACAGGAGGCCAGGTTGTTATCCATATCCCCGCTCGGACCCCTCGTGGGTGTCTGGGCGTGAGCAGAAGCACGGATTAAATTTCGATCGCCTGAATGATGCAAGACACCGTGGGGAGGTGCGGGGGCAGGGAGGGAGAGGAGCGCATATGGACTTGGAGGGAACAAGAGCCAGAGGAGAGGCGCAGATGGGGGGGACACAGATGTGCAAGAGCTTGCAGGGGAAGGGTGAGAGAATGAGGAGGGAGGCAAGGCCACAGGAGGAGACGAAGCGAAAGGAGGAGGAGGAGGGGAAATCAGGGGAAGGAGGAGGAGGAGACAGCGAGGGTGTACGAGAACGCAACAGCTTCGTCGCTCATCTTTGCCCAGCGCAAAGCGAGGGGGTACTGGAGGCCACCAGCAGGAGAGCAGGAGGAAAACAGGAGGAGAGACGTGGAGGAGGAGGAGGAGGAGGAGGAGGAGGAGGAGGAGGAGGAGGTGGAAGGCGTTGCAAGCGAGTGCGCCGGATGCCGTCCCACCAGCCACGCGGTGCCGTCGGAGAGGGGGCGAGCGAGGCCCCTTGGTGTGCCAGGTGGGCCGCGGCCCCGGAGTCCCGAACAGTGTATGTGTGTGTGTGCGTATATATACACGCATAAACACCTTTTGGGTGATATACACGAGGATCAAATCGAACTTAATACACACACATACCCTTTCTAACTATACACACACACCCTTTATATATATATATACATACACACGTGTATATATATATACACAAATATATATGTATGTACACGTATATACACACATATATCTATATATATATATATATATACACAAGTATATGTATATGCACATGTATGCGACCACCCTTTGGGTGACAGGAGGCTAGTGGGTGAGATCGCAGTGGGGCTGAGAGCCCCCCACCGGGAATTCGGTGTCGGTTTCGTGTTCGTGCCGCGCGTGCGGGCGAGGCGAAGCTGCGCGCGCGGCGGGAACGATGCCGCGCGGCTGGGGGCTCTGGAGCCGGTTTTCCGCCCGCCTCCCCCCCCCTGGCGCGGAGAGTTCCGACGGTGGCTCAGGGTGTCCCGCCGTGGCGTTTCGATGGTAGTTCGTGAGATCAGTTGTGAGATCGATACTGATATCGATTGGGTGATCGATCGTGATCGTGAGATCGATCGTGAGATCGAGAGATCGGTAGTGAGGTCGATAGCGAGATCAAACACAACAGATTTTCGGCTGGGGGGGGCCCCGCCGTGGCTGGGGGGTGCCCCATCGCCTCCTCCCGATGGTGTCTCGGGAAATCGCTTGTGAGATCTCTTGTGAAATCGATCGGAGGTTGGGGGGTGAGATCGCAGTGGAACTGAAAGCCCCCACAGGGAAATCGGTGTCGGTTTCGTGTTCGTGTCGCGCGTGCGGGCGAGGCGAAGCTGCGTGGGCGCGCGACAGGAATGATGCCGCCGTGGCAAGGGGCTGTGGGGCTGTTTGACCGCCCCCCCCCCCCCGGTGGGCGCGCGAGTGCCTCGGGTGTCCCGTCGGTGGCGCGGGGGTGCCCCGTTAGTGGCGCGTGGTGCCCCGTCGGTGGCGCGGGGTGTGGTGACTCAGGGTGTCCCGATATGGCGTCTCGATGGTAGCTCGCGAGATCAGGTTGTGAGATTGACCGTGAGATCGATGGTGAGATCGATCCTGACCATTTTTTGTGGGGGGGGGCCCGCCATGGCTGGGGGTGCCCATGATTCTTCCTTTGCCATTCGTAGCACGAGTAAGCAATTAAGAAAGTGCAACACATCCGGCACCCTGGAAGCGTTACCCTGGCACCTCGCAACCTGCTTTGAACGCAGACGAATATGCCCGCCCAAACAAGCATACCGCCTGAGACATTCTCGCACATCTGGTTTCCATGTGGTTATGAAGCAAGCGCCTCGCCTGAGACATCCTCAAAAGTTATCCCATGTGGATAATTATTAGTATTATTATTATTGTAGGAGGTTTCGGTTAATTTTCGGCCCCCCGCGATTTTGAAATTTCAGCTGGGGCGGCTCGGCGCAATGGTTGGATCATGGTTTTTGTTCCGCAGTGGTGCGGGTCCGCTGTTCAGCCCCACGTCCGCTGTTCAACCCCAAGCATGGGCGGCCCCAGTGTCACGCCATGCACCCGCGAGCCCAGCACATGTACAACCTGCACCGCAGTCGCTGCCAAAATTCGAGACCATTTGCAGAGCCAACGCCCGTGGCGCCGCATCAGAGGCCCCTAGCCAGCGTGATTTCCGCCACGTGGGAGAGGAAGATCTTCGTCGGCACGGAGTACGTGTGGCCGCCATCGATTGAGTGCAACTCCGCGGCCGCCGAGGCGATTCTTGAGCCACCTCTTGATGGCCGACCAGCGTTTCTCGATGTGTTTCGTCGTGAAGCCGCGCTGGTTTTTGACCTCCCCCTGGGAATGGACGACGATATCGTGCTTGAAGCCCCTGTCCGACCATCCATCCCTGTCTTTGATGTGCTTGATGGCCGCGATGGTGGCCTTCCACCCGTCAGTGGCGACGACCATGCCCGTGCGGAGGCCCAGCATGTCGAAATTCGTCACCATCTCCAGCTTGCCGCGGGGGCGTCCGTCGAACGCTTCCTCTGGGTGCTCCAAGACTCGGAAGACGGAGTTCTCTGGGCTGCCCTGCACGACCGCGCCCCACAACCAGGCATTGTCCTTCTTTGGGCGGGTGCCTGGCGCGAGGCGACTGACTTTGGACCTGCTCAGGAAGACCTTGTCGGCCTGCACGATGAATTTGGTCTGCTTCTTCTTGGAGATCGTCCTTTTCACGCCCTTCTTGCTCTTGGCCTTGGCTTGTTTCTTGAAGGCTTCGCGCAGCCTCGGTGGGGGGGAGCTTTTCCGGCGATGTAAGATGCGGCAACATATTGGAACTTCTCCATCCAAGGGCCCACGACGATGCGCTGCCCGTCGAGCTCGCGAAGGATCTTGCAGCGCGGGTACTCCTGGGCCCGAGTGACCACGCAGCCGAAGAATGGAAGCCAACTTGGCGCCCTGAGCCGCATTCCTGGCAGCCACGCCGAAGTGCTGAGCAAAGACCATCAGCGGCGTTGCGGGGTCATTCGGGTGCAGCGACATGTCTGTGATGCTGGCGCACTTGACCACGGCGAGGAACTCAACCCGCTCGTCGACAGCCGGTGCGTCGAGCACCTCCTTGAAGCTCTCGTTTCTGCACTTGCTCGCCATGCCTGCCATCGCTGCGAGCGCCCCCGATGCGTGCCCCGCTAACAACCCGCGATCCAAATCAGCTGCAGCCCGACGAGGACGCGTCACACCAGTCGGCTCAAATGATTATAGGAACGTGCATGCACCGAGAAGAAAACGGCGCGTAGGGCGATGAGGCGTGACCCTGAGGGCGCGGCACATACAACCGCTGCATGATCGACGCCACAACCAATGCTCTGCCATCAGACGCGACATTGACAATAATGACGACGGCGATCATAGCGGCGGCGGCAAGGATGGCGACGATCGCATCGATGGAGACGACGAATACTCCTGCGGGCCGACGACGACGACGACGCAAGGCGTTTCCCGAAGAGGCAACATGGCACAATCATGTATGTATGACCGCACAAGGGTCAAGGAGAAGACTACGATGGGCAACGCATTGCGCTTGCTGCTCACCTGGGGCACGGCAGCGCGGGCCACCTCGGCGGCGCGCACCCGCTTCAGAGCCCGAGCAGAAAGCGGTAGCATTGCCCGCGCCTGGGCGCTGCGCATCCCCAGCAGTTCGCCGCGCCGCCGCCCCGGTCACTGGCGCCCGCTGCTGCCTGCTGGTGGGCTTCATCCTCTTGCATGCGGCCGAATTCATCTTGGAGAGCGAGGTGCGCCGCGAGCTCGCCCTCCAGGTCGAAGTCGCCGCCCGCCGTGTCAGGGCGCGGGCGCGGGGGCGTCGCGAGGTCCACCGGCGCACTTGAGCCAGCCAGGTTCTGATTGAAGAACGCTTGCTGGAGCTGCGCGTGCGTGGAGGCCTGCTCAGCCATGCCCTCGTCACCGAGCCCGCCGCCGCACCCCGGGGGGGCCGCGACGCCCGTCGCCATGCGCTTGCGGGGGGGCGACATCAAGTCCACCAGCGCGCCGCTGTCCTTCCTGTTGCCATCGACGAATTGCTCCTGCATTGCCTCGTGCAGCGCCGTCTGCGCGGCCGCGTCGACGTCGCTCAGAACGCCAGCGCACCCTTTGGCAGCGGTCACCGATGGCCTCGCCTGGCCGCTCGAGGAAGCCGCGCCGCCCCCTGGGCCGCCCACTGGCGGGGGCGCGACCTCTGGCTGAACACTGCGCACTGGCTGTCCGAAGAGCCAATTTCCGCGGGCGGTCGACACTGCGGGCACGCGTTCTCCGCGCATCAAGCGCTTTGCGAAATTCAGCGACCACTCCGCCTT